TAACCAATATAAATCTTACACATCTAAAAGCTAATATTTCTATAACAAAACCCAACAAATCTCAATAATACTTTCACAAATAAAAAATAAATTACTCAACAAATAAAAAAAACTTAATAGTAATAAAAAATTAAAAAAATTAACAATACTCAACAAAAAATCCAACAAAAATATATAACTAACAAATTTCAACACACATTTATAACATGTATTCACTGATAGATTATGGAAAAGAAGAATAAAATAGAACAATTTAATTTATTTATATCAAGTTTGATCACTATAATAAAATCATAATATTTTAATAATTGGTAATATATAGATTTCATTAAACTATCAAATATATAAATTACTCCAATATAAATATAAATCTTATTCTACATCAAACCCAATTATAACGTTAAATTAACATAAATAATTTTAATTTCTATAATTATGATTAAAATTTAGAAAATATTAAATATAAAACATCCATCAAAATCTATATAAATCTCAATGCACATTATACCCAAATTAACCTATATAAATCTTACACATTTAAAAGTTAAGAAATCTATAACAAAACCCAACAAATTTCAACAATATTTTCACAAATAAAAAATAAATTACTCAACAAATAAAAAAATTCCTCAACAATAATAAAAATAAATAAAAAAATAAAAATACTTAATAAAATCCAACAAAAATATATAACCAATAACAAATTTCAACAAATATAAAACCAACAAAAACTCAACAAATTGGTAACCAATAAAAAAAATTTTCAACTATAAATAACCAACAAAAACTTAATAAATTGGTAACCAAAATCTAAACAAATTTCAACAAATTTATAACAAAAAAAATTAAACCATAAACTTAACAAATATACTACACAAAATACATAATAAAATAAAATATTTAATAAAAAAATTATCGGAGGGGAGGGAAGTCTTGATTGGTAGATCAGCGTTGTTGGACGACGGGAAAAATTTGAATCGCTGGTGGGGAGAGAGGGAGGGGGAGAGTGGGACAGGGGAGGGGAGAGAGTAATTAGGGATATGGGGAAAATTTGAGGGAAAATGAATGTTGCCCTACGAAGGGTTCAATTTTTTTTTTCGTCGGATTTAATGATCGAATTTTTGTTGATAATGTGTAAATTTTTTTTTTCAAAATTTTTTTACGATAGATTTTTTTAAAACTAACTTTGTAGGAATCTATTATAGACGAAGTTAGCAACAAAAAATTTCTTCGGTAAAATTCGTGGTAATTTCTGCCAAACTATCATTTACAGATTGTTGACAAAATTAAATATATTGATAAATTCTATTGGTAATTTGTTGGTAATTTTTTTTAAAATTCCATCGATATTCCGTCACTATTTAATGATAGAAAATTTTAAAATTTTATCAGTAATAGCTGAATTTCTAGTTATGTATATAAGAGTGGAAAAGGCCAAAATGAAAATGTATAGACAACTTCAAATGGATTTAAAAGAAACACAATGTGAAAAAAATAGTTCTTAGTTAATTAAAGTTTGACGATAAATAATTAATGCATAGAACGTTCATATATACTACTACTACTATACCGTCTCTTGCCAATTATTATCCATCTAAGGATTAAACGTTGGCGCCAAGGCCAGAACCAAGCATTCAAAAATCACGAAAGGCAGGCTTTTGGCCAAAAGGATCCACCAACTAACAACACTCTGGTCTCCACCAGCTGCCAAGTTTAATTATTCTCTAGAAATTTGAATTTTAATTGGGGTTTTTTTTTTTTTTTTGGGGGGGGGGGGTGTTTAAAATTTGGGAGCGGTTGTCTTGTACCAACCAATTCAATTTGAAATTTAAACAAGGTCATGGACACAATCAAGCTATGGATGACAATATTTATGTCCTCCCATATATCCAGCTGCCAGTCGGGGAAAAAGAATTAAATAAGAGCTCATATATATAAATATATTTTGCATGGTCACGAGTAAACAGTTTGCTCAATAGACCCCTTATCCATTTCCCCTGATGATGATGGCCCTTACTAATAATTAGTAATAAATAATAAAGAGCACATTGCTTAGCTTAGACTCTATGGTTTGGTTCCCATTTAAACAAAATTAAGCAACACCCCTAAAATATTGCAAATATTAAATTTTAAATGAAATACTACTCAATACTAGTTAATTCAGTTGATAAAAAATGAAATCTCATTTTATTCAATTAGGATTTGAATAAAATCTTGAATGTAATAAATTTAAGTGATAAATATTCTAATAAAACCTCCTTTGATCTAATAATAATAATAATAATAATAATAATAATAATAATTTTAAATGAAATACTCTTATCCGATCATAGTAATAAGTAGACATATTTTAGAAATTAAATTTTAAATAAAAGGATACCGGTTAATATGTTAATAAGAATAGCACTTGGGAGGGAAAGTTTGGTTTATCTTCACTTGACAATGTCCACGAGTTCCAAATCTATGCTCACTTTTGACATAAGCATACAATTTTGTCTCATACATGAAGTTACCACAGAAAACAAATGTCACCCACAAAAAAAAAAAAAAGGGGCACGAGCTTGGCCACGAGCTTAGTTTTTGGGCTGGGATTTGAAACGTTATAGGCTTATTATAAGTTGGTATTTTATTTCCATTATGGTGGTAATTTTTTTTGTATGCATAAAACAAAAGTAAGTAGGAATAGGAGGAAGGTTAAAATGGGACGAAACAAAGAAAGAAAGATAAAGAGAGGGAAGGAGACATATTCATAGGACCCTGTCATTGGAAATTTCAGAAGATTCCGTAATTTCTGTGTGTTTCTCTTTCTCCCGTACACATCCAACCCCCCATCTATCACTACTTTTCTCTCTCATATACAAAAAAAACAGCACCACGTATTCTTACCCTTGGATTGGACAGGGTAATCACGTAATTTCATTTTCTCGACCTTCTAGTGTCACTCCAATTTTCTTGCATTCCACTCCACATCAGTTCTATCAAACCGCCAAAACCCCCCCGTTTAAGTTTTGATCCGTTCCGTTTCCAATTCCTCTTTTCAACTTTTGAATTTTCTAACAAGGCCAAAAAACCCCTCGAAAACGAGATTTGGTTGGCGGACTCAGGTCACCTATCAGTGTCCCATCCAATAGAAACACAACACGTAATCAAACGATTTCTGGGCGGCTGAAAATGACCCGCGTGGGGAGACCCAGCCGGCTCCTCTCCTCCCCTATGTGTTTTTACCGGGTAAAAAACCGTCGACTTTAGGAATCTGAGCTACGTATTCAACTCAATCTACACTTGGAATATTATAACGGCTTCTAATATAATTAAACTTTGTAAACATAATTATGATTTTTAAGACATGAGAGTAAGGAATCATTTGAGTTCTGGTACGTGGGGACAAAAGCTGCACCTGGTTTGCTAGCTCTCGTCTGTATGTCACTTTTTTTTTTTTATTTTAACATGTCTTTGCTTAGAAGGCATGTCCTGTCCCAAGCTTTGGTCATAATTATCAAACGTTATATATGATCACCTACAACCTTAGCTTTTGTTATATAGTTTTACTGCTTTGGTTGGGTTCCTTTCTTTTAACTTAAGTCTTTAATTTAGAGTCGGTTCATGGTCCATGGTTTGAGGCTCGAGGGTGGAAGTGAGGTAAATAACAAGAGTTAACAAATTTGGGTTTCATTGAATTTATTTACAAAATCACTTTTTGAAAAATCTAATAATTTTAAATTCTATTACTTACAATATTTATTTATTTTTATATTTAAAAAAATTAAAGCAAGAGAGCTATTAGATTAATTTATGTCTCTCATTTCAAATATTTGACTAGTTTGATTAATTTTCTTGGACAAAGATTATTTGAAACTTCTTAAGTGCTAAGGCAGTAATGTAGAAAATTGAATTGTTATTGTATCTAGAAGAAAAGAAGGCATGCCTTGACCGAATTGAGAATCTTATATACAATTTTATCAACATAAATTGAATTGTTATTTGTTATTGCTTTGTTTTACCGCTACATAATCCAAATAACGTTGCTAATTAACTCTATTGGTGTTTGGTTTAAGGGTTTTAGTAAGTTATAGCAGCTAACCTATGGTTTAAGTTAGATTCTTTTGCCAAAAATGTCAAAATCTAATGGATAAAGAAAGAAAAATTAGTGCAAACATTAAGAATTCAATTCAAAATTCACAAGAATTTTCTTTACAAAAAAAAAGAAAAAAGAAAAAAGAATGAACTATTTAAATTAAGATTAAAATTCTAAGTTAAAACTTCGTGTTTTCATTAAGAATCATGTTTACATTTTTGTCATTGCCCAAAAAAAAGTAGAAACAGTAAATTTATCAAGCAATTGAACTAGTTAAGCATTCAAATGTAACTATCAAATTTGCAAATGTCTATTTTTAAAATGGAAAGTTAGGGGTAATTGATAAAATTTTCTTTTGGTGTACTTAAGGTACATTTTGATTAAATAGTAATAATCACCCTTCAATGTAGCTTATAAATTCTAATTCATAGATTCATAGATTGCACCTATTACATTAAATTACCATTAAAAACAGATTTTACTAATTGTATCATACATTGGCGATAATATCTTCAAGCCAACGAATGAAATCACATATTAAAATTCTACTGATCCGTTAGTTAGGTATTAAATTTTTAATTTTGATAATTTAAAAAAAAAAAAAGTAAACTAATGAAAGGCTATGTGAAAAGAAGAGGAAAAGACAAAAAAAGGAGCAGTCCAATTTTGATTTTGGGCCTTTATGGGGTCAATATCGTAATAAATAAAAGAAAGAAAAATCTGAGCGGGAAATAAAAGAAAATGAGAGTGGTGAATAACCAAGGGCAGCCGCGATCAACGCGGTAGGCAAATAACGTAAATTAGTCAAAAGAGAGGGGCCAATTTCTTAGAAAAGAAGAAAACAAAAAAAAAAAAAAAAGGAATAAGAACAGAAAGGTGGCGATTTCCTAGGTCTTCACGATATTTATTTTTGGTAGGCCGGACAACACCATATCTCTTTTTCTTCTTACAAAAACAAAAAAGGAAATCAAAGAATCTTTGGGTCCAACCTGGCCAGAACCCAGACAGTGAAAAATCCGATTCTTAAAAGCCAAGGTATTCCTCATAAATTAGTCACTTCTTTCTTATCCCTTTTTTTTTTTTTTCTTAATTGATGATTGTACCGTTATAAATACAAAAAATTCCAACGTATATATAAACATAGAAAGGAATGAAGCTCTACTATATTACACGAGGAAGAACTGAAAAGCCTTTTGTTTTGTGTCTAGAAGAGAGAGAAAAGTAAAAATCAAAGAGAGAAACGGGCACTTTTAGTAGAGGCCCGGCTACGGACGCTTTCTGCCCTCATTCAATGCTTTACCAAACTCATCACCTTCCTTTTTTCTTCAAATTCCGTTCCTTTACTGCCATTCCTCTCTCTTCCTCAAGCACCCCTGCCATCTTGCCTTCTTCTCTTCAGGTACTCAATTTTAGCAAAAAAAAAAAAAGCTTCAGTTTTTGTTTTGGTTTAAAGGGGCATTCTTTTTCTGGGTTGTTTTTAATTTTGTGTTTGTTTTAGGAAATGGAATGCGTTGAGGCAGCCTTGAAGACCAGTTTTAGGAAGGAGATAGCTTTGAAATCGAGTCCCCAAGCGTTTTTGGAGGATATTGGGGTCGCTAATGGACAGAATGGGGTTTCTTGTGATGATTTTTCCGTTGACGACTTGTTTGACTTCACTAACGAGGATGGTTTTCTTGAACAACAACGTGAAGTTGAAGAAGAAGAAGAAACAAGAGTTTCTTCTTCGCCTAAGAGACAAAAGCTAAGCCAAGAGGACCATTTTTCTAACGACACTACCAATTTTAATTACGGTTCCTTATCCACCAACGAATTCCCTGTTCCGGTACTTAAAAACACCCCCTTTTTTTTTTTGAAGAAAAATTTGCTCTTGCTATTTTATGTTTCGGGGTATGGTTGTTAATGGTGAAAAAGCTGCCATTTTTACAGGCGGATGACGTGGAGAACCTTATATGGTTGTCTCATTTCGTTGAGGATTCCTTCTCGGAATACTCTACGGCGTATCCCAGCGGAACGCTAACTGAAAAGCCCAGGTTACCAGCCGACGAATTGCTTCCTGAACCGGACAAACCAGTTACTACATGTTTTAAAACTCCTGTTCCAGCCAAAGCCAGAAGCAAGCGCACTCGAACTGGTGGCCGAGTTTGGTCCCTTGTCGCTTCCCCTTCTCTTACAGAATCCTCTTCAAGTTCCACGTCATCATCTTCCTCCTCTAGCCCTTCAAGCCCTTGGCTCCTTTGTCCCAACATCGTTTCAGGTTCAGCCTTTGAACTTTCTGAACCGCTATCTGTTGAGAAGCCACCGGTAAAGAAGCATAAGAAAAGACTGGCAACTGACTCAGCCGGTGGGAGTGGGACCCAACCGACGCGTAGATGCAGTCATTGTGGAGTTACTAAGACGCCACAATGGAGAGCCGGTCCAATGGGGGCTAAGACTTTGTGTAACGCTTGCGGAGTCAGGTTTAAGTCGGGCAGGCTTTTGCCCGAGTATAGACCGGCTTGTAGCCCGACATTTTCAAGTGAGTTACACTCGAACCATCACCGGAAAGTGCAAGAGATGCGACGAAAGAAAGAAACTTTGGGTCAAGCCGAGCCCGGTTTAGCTCCTCCGGTTGTTCCCAGTTTTGGATAACAATAGGCCAAAAAAAAAAGAAAAACAGTAGTACTAGATTTTAAAGCAGTAGGCAAAAATATTCGAAGGATAATAGATTGACAGAAAGAGATGAATCAGGTTGATTGTGTCCGGTTCAAACAGCCCTAGTTAGTTTCGGTTCGATTTGTACATTAGTTTCAAAGATTCAGGGTGGGCGCTATAGGTTTCTAGGGATGAAACTGATTTAGGGAGTACTTTCAGTTGTATTTTTTTTTTCACTTTACCCCTCAATTGTTTTGAATTTAATTTTTTTACTGTTATTTTTCCTATTAATGAACACCATATGGCTTGAGAGTGAGAGATTGAGTGAGATTGAAACTGTTCGACCTTGTTTAAGGGAATGGCCGTTGGAAAGCAAAAATATTGTGAATGGGAAATAATGTGCAGAGCAAAGGAAACTACATTTGGCGTTAGGACTACGCACACACTTACATTCTTTGCTATTTGCTTGATTATCTTTTTGCTTTGAAATGAAAAGCGGAAGTGCTAATTGTTCACAAGTTAGTGTATTTTTAGGATTTCGGGTTTTTGAAGTGGTTGTTTTCGGAGCAATTTCTTGTTTGATGTTTAAATTGTTGGACGCAATAAGGGACTTTGGATGTGATGGTTTTGGACAAAGTATTGAGAAAAAAGGGTTTTATTTAAATTGAATTTACCGATGTAATCTTGAAAGGGGTGTAGCTCTCTGCCCCTGCCCTGTTTCCTTTTGTTGTTTCCCTCCTGGATGAATTAAAATTTTAAAGTAGGGTGGGGACTGAGAAGGATTGGGACTTTGGGAGGTAGGGAGCAATCTTCATGTGGAAGGGGCCTCCGCCCCCCAATTCCAATCAACCAACCTGAAACAGCTCATCAGAGGCTCTGTTATCTCTGCTTTTGTTTGTTTTCATCGAGTCTGGTGAAAATGATAACATCCTGGAATATCCCTGCCTATGATATAGACACTCAAGCAAAGCTTTGCGTGTTTGATACCAAGAAAAGATAATAGCCAGTCTGAAGATTAACAGGCTCTGCTAAAAATTGATTTTTATTGACATTGATGACAATCCCCAACTGCTTATATAACTTGTCCTTGTTTATAACCATGTTGAACAAACTAAAAGTGTCGCAATAACTAGCACCAGGGCCATAGTTCTAATTGTTTCCTCACAATTCTATTCTTTTGGTTTCCCTGTATTGAACTTACTACCACAAGTGTAAACGTAAAAGGATACCTGGTTGGGTACTCGCTACTACCTGTATAAAACTTAAAACGGGTGTTTGTACCGAATATACAAAGGGCGGTATCTGAATCTTACTCGGGTCCAATACAGATAGTAATACTCTTGAATCCGATTATAAGATATTCCAACCCAACATAATTGGATGGGATAATACATTAGAGGATATCCATTGCCATCTTTGATGATCAGGTGATGGCAATTTTAATAATTAGTACTCACTTTTTTTTTTTTTCTCTCTTTCTCTTAATCATACTTCAAAATGTAAAATCAAATGCATTAAGATTCTCATCTACTATGACAGAAAAGGAGTGAGTAAATACTAGAAGTATTTAAGGATTATTAAACATACATTTGAGAGGTTAAGAAAGGAAAATGGCCACTAAAACAAAATCTGTGAATGGACTCTCGGCTCTCACTTCGTTTTTTTTCCCCCCTCAAAATTTTCTTCTTTTGGTTTGGGTCAATCATCAGCTGAGATTTCTCAGACTCACAACTGATCAAAACTTGAACACCATCAGGAAGGAGACAAATGTTTTGGGTCAACTATGAGAGAATATCGCCTAAATTGAACTTTGGCATCATAATATACAGGTAATTTTCATGTCAGGTAATTTACATGCAATGGCATGTGTCTAGTTTTGTTGCTGAGGCTTTCTTCACGGCCTGCCTGCTTCAGTAAAAAATGCAATTCATTCCAAATTGCTCCAAATGCTAGCGTATACAAACCCCAAGTCGCTTCTTAATGCAGATTTATTGCGCCGGCAATAATATTCAAAGATAATTAAATATATACAAGTATCAACAAATGTACTTGGAGGTAATATTGTTTTATAAAGGAAATCATAGTCCAAATAAACTAAAGATAAAAAAAGATATTATAAGTGTTGAATTTTGAACATCGAATTTATTAGATATAATTTTTGAATATAATTATATAAATTTAAATTAAATATCATATTTAAAAGAATAAGAACTTCAAATATATATGTTAATGAATAAAGTAAATTAATTATAGCATGGATAATAATAAAATTGAAGTTTATATATGTCTTTGATAAAAAAAAAGGTTTTTATATATGTCTAAGAGTATCGGTAACGCTCATTTCAGTAACAAAACCTGACATGGAAAAATCAGTCACATAACGCATATCTCAGCAGTGGAACCGTGACGGAAAAATCTGTTACAAATATATATTCATGATGTTTTTCTATGGTCAATGATGGATTTTGCTGTCACTGAAAGCCTTTTCTATTGAGACAGATGAAACGTAATTAGTTATGTTAAAATATATATATAACTGAATCAGATTGTAGCTGTCAAGGGTTTTAAAATACAAATCTGAATATTATTTACTGCAAGCAATTAAGGTAGGGAAGCGCAGCTAATCCACCAATTTGGTCGATACAAATCACATAAAATAGAAGATCAGAAGTCTCTCAGCCAAAGTCGCAACTAACTCGAAAGCCAAACCCATAGGAAATTGACTAAAAGTAGGAAAATTTTATCAGAACGGGCACTCCTCTCCTCTCTTCTCCCATAGTTGTTGCGTGGCAATCACGTGAAGGCTATCTCTCACCAGTTCCAACGACTCTCCAACTTTTGTAATAGGGCAGCAATAAAGTATGGTATGAAAGATGGGTTGTCATGTCATGTTGTGTTTTAAAAGCTTCCATAACGGCAAATTGGGTTTTCGTGGCTCGAGTGATGTGATCATTTTGAGGTGCAAAATCTCATGAAAATGAGCCTTTTCTTGCATTATGGTATATGTGCTTTACCATTTAGTCCATTAGGTAAGGGTCCATTAAAAGAAGACGTGTGTTTGGGATATTTGCATAATTCATGATTCTTTTGTCAATATTATTCAAACCACACACTTCTGTGAAGAATTCCAACATCCCCATACTACTATGTCATTGTAAATAAAAGATTTTATTAATTATAATGCTACTATTATAAGGGTTATTATTCAATGTGTCTGACAGTAATTTTTTTTTAATTTTATAAATGAGATTAAAAATTTTTCATATATTCATCTAACATATACGTCAATCATATAAATCCAATTATGACATTAAAATATTTAAGCATTACTAATGAATAGAGTAATAATCTCATAACAGTTCATAGAAAGCTGCTACATATACTCCTTAAAAACAATTTTTAGAGTTAAAAGTATATGTGATGATAGAAAACATTCATCGTTAATTTGGATTGGAATGAGTTTGATTTAATTATTATTTCCACGTTTTATTAAAAATTTAAAAGGTTGAGGGTTTTCAAGTTAAAATTTTTAACTATGTAATATTTGTCTTCATGTGCAAATTTGTTGGTTTTAAAAGTATAATTAGAGTAAAAATCTATAATAATATTAAATTCAAATTTTATCACAAGAATATTTTGTATATCATTAAATTAAAAAGAAACTTTTATCTATTAAAAAAAAGGTTAAAAACTCCGGTTGTAATCTTTACAATGCCAAGAGAAGATGGAAGAAAACTATAGGTTCCATAAAAGGAAATGTTTGAGTGTGACTATGATAATGTGTTGATGTGAATTTTGTTTAATTAGGTTAAGATATTTAGGTAGCAAATCAAGGTGGAAATCAATGCCGGCCCTCACTTTGTTGACTGGGACTACCTAGCAGCTGCTGGTGCATGCACTCCACTAGTGGAGAAAATCCCAAGGCCAAAAAAAGGCTCAAAGCTCCTCTTCTCTCCTCTTCTTCAGCCTTGACTTTCACCTCTCCATTATCCACATGGTAGTGAGTAGTGAGTAGTGATTGTGACCACCTTACATCAACCACTTTCCTACTCGAACATTTTTGACTTAATTGCATGTTTAATCACGTGCATTTGGCTCCTTGTACTATGCATTTGGATGCACCATTTATTTTATCAATACCTTCCACTCTGTGGGCCTTTTTTTTTTTTTTTTTTTGCATCTGGTTTCTAATTAATCCCATAGTTGTGATTGATTCGATTTTGACAATTCTCTGAAAGAAATGGATGAGGGAATGGGGATGGTCTTATTCGTTATGGTAGCTAAATTTTTTTATAAAGAAAACTACAGCTCAGAGAAAATTTTAAATTTTAAATCTTAAGTATGTTAAATATCATTTTTAAAAATAATTATATATAATATATATATATATATATATCAAAACAGTTAAATCTCAAATTAATTTTTTTTAATAATAAACAAGGAGACAGGTTTTATATCTGGATTAGATTGAAGTAAGAAGCAATGCTAATGTGGAGCTAGGCCCGAAAACAACTTAGACCAGATTGGAGAAAATGGAAAGGAGGCCGAGTTTACCAACAATGGGACTTTTCTGTGTTTGATTGCAGAAATGGGCCAACAGCAAAGCCGAAAAAGACCGAATTTTTTTGAAGTCCCTATTCTACCCCTGACCAACCCAATCACGCTATCTGCAGGATTTAGCTGAGGGGATTATGCCTCGAATCTGGGCAAACCCTCCCTCCAAATGCTGATGGGCAAACAGACCGAATATTATGAGAAGTGATAGAGAATTGGTGTGCTTACCACAGTTTAAACTTGCAACTGACAAAATTACTGAAAACAATGGAAACTTTTATTGGCCTTTACTTTCTTAAACAAAACCATTACAACGTATCAAAATATGATCCGGCAATGTATAGTAGAAATTCACTCTGTAAATTTAGAAAACTGGAACACATATTTAAGCAGGGCAAAAGGATTATTTGATGCAAGCCTGAAATTCATCACTGTTTCATGGAGGAATAATATTGAAAATTGGCGAATGCAAATGTAGAGGCAAGTGATAGTGGTTAGAAGATAGGACGCGGGGATGGAGGAAAATGCCCTCTTATGCATAAACGTTTGTCCATTCAATGTGCATGGTTTGGCTTTGGAGAGCCAGCTCGTCTTCCAATTGATTTTCTTGAGCCACCGCATCCCCAAATCCAGCACCCTCCATGGTTGGCACCTCCACCACTACCTCCTCCCCAACCCCAACCTGCACCTTGACCACCACCTCCTCCACCTCCACCTCCACCACCACCGCCGCCTCCACCTCCACCTCCTCCTCCACTATTTCCACCACCTCCCCCACCTCCTCCCCCTCCATTTCCCCCACCCCATCCGTGACCTTTGCCATTTCCTCCTCCTCCGCTACCACCCCTTCCAACTCCACCACCGCCACTTCCGCTACCGTTGCCCCTACCTTTTCTTTTCTTGTGTGGGTTACCTTTTCCTCCACCATTGCCATTGCCATTGCCACTGCCACCTCCACCGCCACCTCCACCACCACCACCGCCGCCACTTCCTCCTCCTTTCCCACCATTGTGAATATTATTACTATTGCTTTGGACTAAAATTTTTTCAGAAGAATTCCTGCCTTTGTCTTGTACATTCTCGATAAAACTACGGTTCTCGCTAGAAACCTTAGTGGTTGAATTAGAATTGCACCACCCAGGAACCCCATTTTTTTTCTCATCAAAGTCATGCATTCCATCTACCCAACACGGGCTGGTCAACACCACAGCAAACAGAAACAAAACCCAAAGTTGTCTTGTTATTTCCATTTTCTGTCTCAACTTGAGAATGCATAGTCCCCCTTCAATCCCTTTTATACTCTTTGATTGTACTTGTAAAAAGCAAAACGACAGCGTGAAACAGTCCCCACATGAACAAAATCGAAGCTACCAACTCACATCTTCAAAATCAAGGCTGCAAAAGTGAGAGAAAGAGATGAAACCATCCCTTGGGGCACAATATGTCCCCACCCTCCGTTTTCCAGTGGCTAATGCACGATTAAGGCATACACTGACTCTACACTGCTCTCTTACTCTTGTTGAAATGCTATAACTCCATCTTTTAAGCTGACAAAATAAAAAAAGTGTATTTTTTCTTCCCAAGCAACCATGAAATTCAAGGCCACCCAATGAAGTCCCAAATAAGCACCAAAAAAGAGAGACACAGACCAAACATGATGGGCGCTGCTTAAACATTCCAGTTCTGCTTTAGGGACATTTAACATGGGATCATCGAAGTGAACTTGTTTAAAATAATCATAGGGTTGCAGGCACGAAAAGTATAATCTGAAATCAATTATGCTAATGATTTTAATTTTTAACTCTTAGCAAGAACACTGGCTAGTTCATTAGTGTCACCCACATGATGTAAAAAAGTGGTGAAAATTTTTTTTTAAGTTTTCAAAGTGGCCAAATAGGATTATGGCATAAACCAGAAGACAGCTCATTTTCAAATGACGAGTTTATATTATCTTCAAAATAAGGAGATTTATTGAAGAATATAGGCACCGTAGGAAGTAGACTAGTAGGCCTATCTTAAGTAATGCCCTAAACATATCCCATGCCATGTGAGGTGGGTGGAGGAGGATAATGCCTTTTGCTTGACGAATGAAATTTGGTGGTTGTAGTGGTGGTGGCCATGTGGTTGAGATATCATGGAGATTGGAGAGGCCATTCCAACTTTAAGTGGATGGTGCGGTTGTATTTTTGAGGGTGTATAAGTGTAAACTTGCTCAAGTGCGATCCAGAAGGTTCCCGAGGGATAATGTTTTCATGACACTAGACCTTTTCATCTCATCATTTCTCCATGTGAGTTTGAAAATTCCCATTTCTTCAAGCTACTCTTTAGTTGATTCTTTGCCAATTGCGCCATGGCCTCGAAACCATGTCTCAGAGTCCATCTTCTCACTTTTGTTAATTAGTGGAGGCATAACTTTTGCATTTGCATTATTACGTATATCCCTTGAAAAATTTTTAATGGTTATGGAAAGGGTTCCAAGTCTCCAACTGCAGGTGAAAATCATGGCCTTTTTGGATCAATTGAAATTACGGGCTTCTAATTTCGGTTAACTGTAAAGACATCTAGAGTGAAGCCCAATGCCAGATTTGCTATTTGAAGCCCAAGCTTTACGAAATGCTCGGATAAAGAAAGAATTGTCACAGCCGTGAGGATTATTGAGTATTGAGGAATTATATGAATCTCCCCCCAAGAATTGGCACAGCCAAGGAATCTAAAGTTCCTTTGTTGTTTAGATAAAGTTGCAAAATTGGAATTAGATATTTGGTGGCAGTGAGCAGAAAATGACAATAAGCTTGTATGGATCAAATCACGAGTATTGCTGTTAGTGGGATTTTATAATAGAGTGATAAATTAAAGGAAAAAAAAAAAATCTTTGTTACTTCTAATCTTGAAGGATCTGTTAGAGCTAGGATAATGATTTTCATACGATCAAATTGTGAAGCTAAGAGCAGAAATTCTGAAACATCTATCTTTCATGTCTTTAATGTACTAACAACAAGTTGGATGTTGGACCAAAGATTAGTAACTAAATGCTGCCCGTAGCTGCACATGGCCCCTTTATTCTCCCACATGTTTTGGTTCGTTAGGTTTAGCTTTAGATTTTTTTCCTTTAATACGTAAACTTCGCACAAACTATTCATTTGATTTAAGGCATGACATCCAAATTCATTGTCATAAAACAAGCTTGCCCCTTGTCAAGGGAGGACTCGCTCAACATCTTTACTAACATACCATCAAGGCATCACTTTAGAATTGTACACCTAACCTTCAACTTATTTAAGATCATTAAATGTAAGTCACATTTGTCAGAAATCATTAAATACAATTCACAGTCACCTTTATGATCTTACCTAGAGCTTTACGTAGACTCACCATTAATTGTCAATTGTTTTAATAATGTCACCCTGTGAGGTTAAAAAAGGTCTAGGTACGTATGAACTTAGTATCCTTACTTTTGAAGCTTTCTCCATAATTACTGTTCATTTTCTTCCTTACAAACCCTTTAAACACTTTATTGACTTGAGTAATAGAGTGCACTTTGAAGAACCAAATCCAATGCCCTTAGATTGTGCTTTTCTGTTGTAGGTTTAGGTTCTCTTTTACTTAGCCTCCGGATAGCTTTTCTCTAGCAAAACACCCAAAAACACAACCAATAATTGGCATCATCTGTGGGAACGACAGCCATGTCTCATCCTATTCCTCTAAAACAGCTACACTAGTTATGAACGTAACCACCTAACCCGCAACTGTTACCAACATGGTAGTAGTTCTCCTAACTCCCCCATAAATTCCATCACCAAACCTTCATTTATGGACACCATGATATGACCATATCCTCCTATTTCTTAGCAACCCAATCTCATTGAATGCATGGACCACGCAACTAATGGGTTATTACCAAAACCTAATGGGAGTTTTATTTCCAAATATGACTTTAACCCTACACTGATCCACACTACTATTGCTGGACCCTCAAACCTTACCTCATAACCACCCTCTTTGCAAGTTTAGTCCTTACAACTAATTAATGCCACTCATAGATAAAACATTCTTCCTGCCACATTCTTTATGCAAGTTACACTACTAGCTTCACAAATCCCTATATGCCAAATGAACATGAAACAACCTTCCTCTAAGTTCTACCATTTATTAATGACCTAGATTCAATTATTAAATGCCCAAGTAGCCACTTAACAAAGGTTACTTCAATAATCCTTGACATAGAAAATAAGCTGGTAGTGCAAGTAATTGTCCTATAGAAGGAATTGATCAACTTCAAAAAGGAAAAAAACAAGGACCTACAGTAGTAGAAGATGATCACAACCTTTTAACTAGTCTTATCAGATGAGCTTATATCCCTACCTCTCTCAAACTTTCTAAAGAAACCTATGATAGGGCTATCGACCCAGAAGACCACTTGGATCATTTCAAGACCTTTATGGATCTCTATAATGCCACAGATGCAATTAAGTGTAGAGTTTCTCCTACAACTTTGTGAGGTAGAGTTTGCACATGGTATTGTTCAATGGCCCCAACAACTGTTGACAGCTTTGATACACTTAGTAGGTAGTTTTTCACCCACTTCCCCAGCAGTAAGATCATAATACGCTCTTCTACGAGCTTGTTGGTTGTAAAGCAGAAGCTTGATGAAACCTTACAATAATACCTTAAAAGGTTTAACGTGACCACCTTAGAGATCAAAGATCAGAACATAGAATAGATAGCTTAAGCATTCACTTCTGAATAAGACATGATCACTTTAGATACTCTTTTACTAAAAACAAACCTGAGCAACTGTACGGGCTTTATGAGAGAGTTTAAAAATTTATCAAAACTAAGGAACTTCAAGCTACAAATAGAGTTAAAAGGCACGATCAACGTCCTAAGTGTTCTCGAGGTTATGGCAGGTGGACAAATACCCCTAACTAGTGGTTCCACAACAATCACCAATCCCATAACCAATCTAAAAGAAGAGACCAGTAGCATAGTACCAGTTGAAGCTCGTAGCCATAACCTAACCACAAATATAACCTTGAATGCCATCACCTAATGATTAACCTAGAGAACTAGCCAAAGACCTAACTAGGTGAGACTAGTGCTTAGAAAACGAGATAATCGACCCACATCAAAGCAACATTGTAATATCATTCAATAAGGGGCATTCCATTGATGAGTGCATAACTTTTCAAAAGGAGATCGAATGGTTGAAGGGCTTAATTAGTAGCCAGCCTTATCACTATAATGAGTGTGAAAATGGCCCATCATCTGGTCTATCAAGAGACATGTCTGTTCGCTAATAGGGTGAAGGTTTTTCCTAGCAATGAAAAAAGACTCACCAAGTGAAGATAGTTAGCAAGCAATTGGTTTAGAGGATAATCCACATTATCGTGAGTGTAACGAAAAGTTGGGCAAACAATAAGTCTAAGTGTAATTTCACTTATGTAGTGTCATGGCTATTGATGTGGCACTTTAGAAATTGAAAATAGATTAATAGTGGGAAAAATTTTCTGAGAATGACACTGACATCTTAGTAGACAATGGCAATGATCCTAGTGTGGTCTCGTCAACCATTGCCAACTTTCAAGTGCAAAGGATCTTGATCGACAGTGAAAATATAGTGAACTTCATCTAGTACTAGGCTTTCAAACAAATGAGATTTTTAGATGGTGACCTGAGGTTATCAAGGCCTATATTTGGTTTTGTTAACTAACCTATCACCATTAAAAGAACTATCGTTCTACCAATCACCATGGGGAATAGGGAACACACGTTAATGACGATTGTAGATTTTCTTATCGTGGACTAACCTTTAGCGTACAAGGTTATTTTTGATGGGCCGTTGATGAATGAGAGTAAGATTAATGAGAACCAATTAGGTAACTGCCTATCAATGTCACTTACCTTCCTTGCAGTTGACATAGAGTGCAAAAAAAATAGTGAAATAACACCCCCACTAGTAGAACAACCTAAGAAACAACCTATGTCCCCACCTTTAGTACATGTTATTAACTTTGTCCTAGCACAAACCCTTAGCATTGACAATTTGGATACCCATGATGAAACTAGGTAATAGAAGGCTCACCCTGTTAGGCAAATTATACTAGTACAATTTTACCCTCTCAATGCAGAGTTGGTTACTCAGACAAATTCTCTATTAGACCCTAAAGCTAAAAGTATGCTGCATCAATTCTTACAATGAAATGTAGATGTTTTTGCTTAGTTCGTCACAAATTTTATAGGTATTGATGAA